AATTTACGAAATTTTCCGTTTTCTTGAATTCTAACAGAGAAAAAAATACGGCAACGGCGTTTATAGATGTCTTATGTGGATAGTATTTGCGTGAACAAGTTGAAATTTTTGTAGGATTTTCTTAAACTGAGTTACGATTTTTCTCGATTTCTTAAGCAATTAAATCTTTTTAGTTTTTGGCTCAGAACTCAAGGTGGGTGAAAGCTCTTGTAAAAGCAAGACCGCCTTCTTGTAGAGCTTGCCTTGCTCTATCAAACGGTACTTTGCAACCTATTTAGGAATGAGAAATGTATGACTTATTGCGGTTGAAAGTCAAAACCTGCATTAATTTCCGGACAACCTATTACTGCTTATTTTCCATATTTCAATGTCTTTTTTTTCTTAGCCATCAGAGGTCTAATTTTCGATGATTACCACCTTCATACGTCGTGCATGCCTAGATCGAAGATCCCAGAATTAATCACATTTATTTTCAGGTAAGGGAGGCAGATGGGCAATCCCAGAATTTCAAAGCGTCTCCTTTATTCATTATTATCGTATGTAGTAAGAGAAGAGTAATTCTTATGCAGTTCGAATTTCAATTTCCTTCTCATTGATATCGAAAATTGTGGTTTTTCTAGCCCATTCTCTTTGAAGATTTAAACAATTGGTTAGGATTGCTTTTAGCAAACTTTTGGTGCCTTCAGTTTAATGGATGCCTACTGCAGTACAGCTCTTGATTAGCAGACTTACTTCAAAATCCTGGAAAATTGTCCATTTGTCCTTTTTACGTCAAAGCAAAAGTTTCAAATCTGGGATATTCGATCTAAAACGGCATGTACGACCTATAAAGGTGACAAATCATCGAAAATTAGGCCGTACGTAAAGGTAGGAACACAAAAAAGAATCAAAATATGAAGAACAGGCAGTTTGGCGTCATTTCGTACTGCGCACTTGGTATAAGTACCGCACGCGGGACCCCAGCGCCTTCTCCGGGATTTCAAGTTTGTGTGCAGTAGCACATATTGCACCGAGGGGACTAGACGGATGACGTGCTATATTGCATGCAGCCCCCTTTATATCTTATGTAGGGCTTCAAAGTATAAACACACAAAGTCCTGGCTGTCCCTCGTTTTTCACTTTCTCCCACGTATAAATTGTGTTTCGTGTTCATAGCAGTCTAACATCAAGAGCGCATGCGTACTGCCCGTAAGTCATTTATGTACCAAGTCTCTTAATAGTACTTATGGTTTACTTTCAAAGTAGAAGAGCTATACAAGAATTAAACCAATGACTCTTCAATTCAAATTCAGCCGACTGTATCCAGGAGTTGCCGTCGGAAAAGTACACTGAACTGAAATCTGCGCCGACCACTTTCGTTTCTCTTTCGAGTAAATATTCGAGGGACTTTATTGGTCACCAACTGTGGAAAGGGAAACTCCTTTGATGCGCTTCTCAAGGCGTGATCAGTTTTGATGGCAGTAAAACTGAGTTTTATAACGCTATTAATACCATATTTCATAATGCGATAATACTATTCGCTTTAGTAACAATACTTTTTTGAATAGTGTATGTGGGAAACGAGGAGATAAAAAACACTGGTGTACACAGCGCATGCACACGTGCGTAAAGACATACATACGCCTACGCCTGGCCCAACTCTCTCCCCTCCATTGTAGGTGATCAACGTTCAACAGAAATTTGTCATCACTACGATGATAAAACTGTTTGGTAAAATTTCGCGAGCATCGCAGTTTGGTTTGACCACGAGCGCGTTTGGTATTGGCGCGCTTAGGGCAGTGTTCCACCAGATTTGAGGCATAATTGATAGAAAATTTCATTAGAGAACCTCCAGGTCAAGGACAGTCGCACTCGATAAGGTATCTCTTATGTCGGAAAGAAATGCATTCGTTCAAAAGGGCCAAGTCCAGTCGCTCATGCATTGTCGATTTTTCCCTCGTTACAACACGTCTTTCCATGCGACGCTCCTATGACGAAAGGACTTTGAACAATGGGTTTTGAGACTTCCACGCGCAAACCCGTATAGAGTTATACAAGGTCGGGAAAGCTTGTGGCAAACATCCTGGCAATTTTATGTAACACTGATAATGTTCTAGTGCACAGCAAACAATCAAAAGAGGGTTTTTAAGGAGACTTGAGGGCAGAAATGTTATCAAAGGATGTTTAAAGTTCTTACGTGAGGATCATACGTGCTTGTGGCGAAACTGGATCAAATTCCATTGCATCGACACAGAGAGTTAGTTGATTTTGACGCTCTTGGGCATCAAGACTCTGCCAAGATTTTCTAGTACTTACTACTGTGCTGTCGTATGTTGTTGCTTTATCAAGAGTTATTTTATGTGACATTACAACTGGTTTCATAACTGATTTTAAAACGCTGTCGCAACTTGCAAAAGAAACTTTATAATGCAGCTCAAACACTAGAGCAATTGCTTTTTTACTATACTGTTTTCGGAAGCAATTCAGACTCTCGGCATGGAAAAATCTGCTCTGATCTCAAATTATCAAATGTTAGTATGGGTGACCCATACAAACATGGAAACTATCCACCTTTTCGTGAATTAAAGAAGGATATCGAGAAATCGATTCGAAGGTCGATAAATGTTGTGCTTCACCAACCGAGTTACCTGATGGATAAACCATCCTAACCTGATGTTTCAAAGTTATCATTTTGGACGTCTGGACGTAAACAGTAACGCCTATAACGCCCTCGCCTATAACGCTTTCCTTATCTAGATCTCAATCCGACTAGTAGCCAGAGTAAGAGAGAAAATTTTTAGCAAACTGGATTTGAATCATCTTGAAGCTATTCAATCCCGTCAACTGAGTAGATTTTCAATAGTTGCTGTTAGCAGTTACTTCGCTGGACACCCAGTTGAGTCAAAGCTTATTTATACATGAATACAAGTTTGTCCGGGTTAAACTCATATTTGTTTTGATGACTTCTTTATACGTAAACCGATTGAGCTATAACTTTGCATGAACATGTTGTCAACCCCGGCTCACATTATAAGCTGCTTTTTGCGGCAATTCTTTTAGGGCTCATATGCACGTACACTTCCAAGGGGAGTGAAAGGGTCTGACAGGAGACGTGTCATATCTCGCTACTCTAATTCTTTCTCATCTGGCCCGTGGTTCTCATACTCTGATATCTGCGCATAATGATTGCCAGGATACTGTCATACAACTTCAGATTTTCACTATTTTGTATGATCCCCTGAGAATCACCGGGGGATCTCATTTTCGAGGTCACTTATCTTCCTATAAACTCGATGAAAACGTTGTAAAATTGTGTTGAGGATATAATATGCACTGCTAAACATGCTTATGGTAGAAATATGTGAAGGCTCAGAATATCGAAGGTGAACCACTGCTAGCGAGCTAGAGATCATCAAAAAAATTTACAATCTTTAGATTCCATTTCTCCTGTCGAAAACATGCTCAGCAGTGTCTATTATATCTTCAGTACAACTTTACAGCGTTTTCACTGAGTTTATAGAAAGATAAACGACTTTGAAAATGAGAGGTGATCCTCGGGGTATCATCAGGCGATCACACAAAGTAGTGAAGATCTGATTTTGTATGACACCACCCTGGCAACCATTACGCGCAGGTGTCATAGCATGAGATCATCATAACTCAGATAGAGAAAGAAGAAGAAAGATATCTAGTAGCAAAATATGACGTGTCCCCTTCCAGATCTCCTCCCCCTGTGGGGATGTACATGCATGCGAGCCTAACAGTTTATTGACCTTTGGCAATTTGCAATGAGAATTACACACTAATCAACCGCGAACATTTCATTTTATGGTTTCGTGTAGATAGTACCGAAAGAGCTCAATCGATTTTTGCGGTCCGAAGGGTACGGTGAGTCGAAGAGGGCCAATTCAGAGGTAGCTTGTGTGCTCGTGCAGGACCGTTTTCTGTGCATTGTAAAAACAAATTACGCAGCGAAGAAGAAGTCAAGAGAGCGCGTCGACGAGAACAGCAGATCAAGCGTGGAGACGAAGTTGAGCAGTAATGAAGAGGAAGGCAGCAATTTCATATTTGCTGAGTCCCGATTCGCGCTGCTAGAGTGGGCCAAATAAGACTCTGGATGCTGTGGCCCGGGCGAGATCGGGAATGGCAGCCAGTGTGCTCTACATGACAGATATCATTAATATTGAGATAAGATAATAAAAACCTCATGCACGTGTTGTTTGACAAGCTTGAACCTGCATTTTTTGTTTTTGAAAACAATGATTTTTCAACTTGAAGCGAAGCAGGACAAATTAGCTCGTTGATCACACATGTGCAAGAGCTTTTGTGTGCCCTCCTAGGTCCAGTGATTTTTAGTGTGGACTAAAAATGTAGCAGAAGCTTTGATAGTCAAAGCTTTGTACTCGGCAGCACTGCTAAGTCGTAGAAACATCCATGATGCCTGAGGCATTTTTTGCCTGTCTCTTGTGTCAAGACTGTGCAATCACCGCACTAATGGGAAATACGAAATAAGGAGAAGCTGGTGATTGCGAAGTTGCGCGTTGAAATGACATGCGAAACTGAAATTAGCGTCGGAAAGATGATTCAAACAGCGGGTTTTTACAAGAAATTCAATAATATCAAAAGTGCAAATCTGTATCCAGTTTCATTTTCAGCTTTGTGATATGAAGCATTGACTCACTCGTTCAGTGACGCCCGAAAATTTGGCGTGCCTACGCTTTGCTACGTGATTCCAGAGTCGCTTTATTTGTGTTATTCTAGTGATGCTTCTTGCACTCAAACAATGCCTAGATTGGCAAATTGAAAGGGACTCTTGTTGGTCTAATCACAAGGTCGAATACCTTATAACCTATGATCCACGTTCAGAGTCTTATAAAAATGTGAAGATAGAAGAGCGTTTATCTGATTCATGATATTGACATAATTAGTTTCTCTATATTAATTTTAAGAGCACAAATGCACAGGTCGAGTACCGCATTCTTCTGTGTGTTATTGCATCAGCTTCTCCGTTTTGTTGCGAAATGATTCGCTCTATACTGGCGCTGCTTTTATTGGAATCGAAAAGTGCTCTGCGTATGTGGGTGTCAGAGATGTGGTTTGTCCTCTTCAAGTGCACTCGTTATATGATTTGAAATAAAACATGTTGAAGTTTAGGTTTTATCAGACAGAACTCCTAGCTACCGCAGCTGTTTGGTTGCAGTTGATAATCAACAGGAGCATGCAGCAGCATATGCTTGGAACGAGGCACAAAAGGCATGATGCGTCGACTAAAACAATTCATATCTCTATGAAATCCCGTTCACATAGTGGTATACAGTAATTTTAGCGATTGCACTATGCAACAAACTATGTTTCAATGACCTCATTCCTGCTAAAACTTACAATTAGATCATTTTTTCCGTGTTAAAGAAAAGCCCATGCTATGCAAACTTATCTAGAAGTAATAAACTAATGCTTTATTTCTGACTCCACATTGGCCTTAGACTGTTGTTTAAGATGGCTGTGGGCTGCTAGTACTTTCGTTTATAAAATCATCATTATGATTACTTTGATGGAATCTTATAATTATGTTAGAATCTTTGGCTCAAGTGTTCGTATTCAGCGAAGCCATTAGGTTAAGCTTTGTTTGATAGGTCAGCAATCCTTCACTCAGTTCCCCCAAACCCAAGGCAGGCAACCGTTGCATCTACTTTGGAAGTAGGCCGTCATTCACAGATAAATACGCTAGCGACAACCCGCTTCTATGGAGCCACAAGCACAGCCTTTTCTAGATTTATCTTCACACAAATCTCTTCCATTTTTTTGGTGCAATTCTTTTTTCTGCTGAAATTCTGCATGAGGTTGAGCAATGTTGTGACGCCCGTTCAAAGCAAGGGAAGGAAGGGCTATTGGCTTTTGAACACAGAATCGTATCATTCAAAAAACTGTTTGCTTCCGCAAACAAAGCCGTTTTAGCTAACAGTATGAATCATAGGAGGCGAAGCATCTCTCTTCCGTTCTGTCACAAATCAAAACTTTTTTGCTTTTTTTGTGCTCAGGTAACTCGGTAAACTTACGAAGTGAGTTCGCCTATATGGCCATTTTTGCTCTATATGGTTGATACATATGAAGCTGTTACATGTCACAAAATGTTATACAATAAATCTGTTCACCCGAAATGACAAAGACATGGCATGTCCGAAAATTATTTTCAAATTTATAGGGTGAAATCAATTGAGGAAGCAGCAGTCGTGTGGGGCAGATGTTCAAACAAAAGCAACTTTGCCCGCAATCACAGTTTTATCCTTACTCTGCGAAGAATCCAACTAGTTTTGGCTTCTCTAGTTAAAGTAACATCTTCGCTCCACTGATATCTCTAGTATGATTTTGACAATTGAAATTTCGGTGAGAATAACGTGCCTATCAAATGACTCACACAGCGCTAAAATGAAAACTTCATAACAAGCCGCAGCAGAATTACAACCCCATCCTACAGGTCCATATTTTAGTACGTCACACACTTGTAACCTCGTCTCGCCATTGTACTTGAATAAACTGCTCAACTAGTTAGCATTCCGCACTAATAATTCTGCAAAGAAAGACAATTAGTTAATCAAGCTTAGCAGGTGATATATACGTTAACAGGGCAATTACGAACCAGAACGATGATTGTATAAAACGTTAATTGTCCAATACAGAGGAAATGGGCTTTTCTTGTTCTAATAAGGGAACGATCCCAACTTGAGATTACGAACTGGAATGATCCGCATACCGTTAGGTTCCTCTCAATGAGCTGATTCCAAATCTGTCTTCCATCGCAGCAACGCGCCTTTTTGAAAAAACTATGAGCATCTAAACCTCCAAATTTTGCAAGCATTTGGCGCCAACCCTCAATAATTACTTCTTCAAAAACACTTACTTGTATTCTCGGTAAATGTGAGCATTCTTTAAAATCAGTAGACTTAACATAGTGCTGGTCACGCACTCTCAAGCTGATTTCATGCATCAAAATCCCAGTGGTTCCACACATTTAATGGCTTTATAGCTTTTCCGAAAGGCATCGCAGATATGAAAGCAAAATTTAGAGTGAGGTCATCAGGACGCGTCTAACGATATGCAGTTCATTCCAATTCGCCACTTTAATTTGGGATCGTCCCCTTGTAGGACATTGTTTCAAAGTCCATTGGCTTGAAATGGTGCACTACTTCCACTTTTCCTAGCCTAGAACGTTCATTTTCAAAGTGACTTTTTACACAACTCAAATTTCGGAGAAGTTCCAGTTTCGCGGTACTAATCATAAACAGACTTTACATGATTTATTACTATTATAGGCCGTCCGCGCAGGGCGCGGAGAGTGCGCAAGGTGTGTATTGCGCGTCACTCCTCTTTCCCCGTGCACTCTCGCCGCCTGTTTTTCTCTGCGCTCAACTATCTTCACTGGACGCAACAGCGTTGCTCTCCGCGCGCAGCGCGGACGGCCTATACATACATCCACATATTTTTTCTCAGATAATGGCAATTTGAATCTTAATTTACATTTCAAATCAATGATCATGCCTTATAATACTCAATCAGCCACTATGTCGAGTTTGTTTGGTACGAAAATACAGTGGGGTGTGATTTACAATATCCAAAGCATAGCGGAGTCGCATAAGGCCCCGGGCAGACTTCACGCAATTTGATCGTCGCGACTGAATCGCGACGAGACAACTGTTACAACATCATTCCATGCCGATCAACTTGCATTCGGTTGTGATACTTTTCCAGCCCGAAATTTTTGAATGTGAAATGAAAACGAATGGGAATCTTGGCGATTAGATCGCGACGATTGAGTCGCGTGAAGTCTGACCGGGGCCTAAAGGGTAAGCTGAGCTTTGTTCCCCACTACTTAGGGGTCCCTCAAATGAAGAATGATCGAGAACCCAGTATGACTACGTATTCTGACCGTCCCATATTGACCAATGCGAACCTTTGTGAAGCAGAGGTGACGCATTTTAATGTAATATTGAGTGACATTCATAAAACGTGACCGCGTATTTGACTTCTCTATAATGGCATAAAAGATTCATGCAAGAGACAACCACCTTCATGCTCAGTTCAGCCACTTCCAGTACTATGTAGTAGGCGCAAAAACCATTTAAGTTGCGATGGAAAGCAAGAGAATCCGGTTGCCGGAAATGCGTAGGGATCTCACGCAACCGTGCCATCGTTACAATTTCGTAAGTCCCTATATGCGTCTTTCAACACTTTAACTCAACGGGATTGGCGGCTGGAGTCGGTCGCTCGCATCCGCGGCGAAGTCTGCGCCTCTCTCGCGAGCGTGCTCTTTGGTTATTATCTAGCCTTGATTAGGTCTCAAAGCCCCGCCTTGCAACCGCTAATGGGTTGAATCAAAGGGTATACATGATAATGATTGGACAACGTTCATAATCTGGACAAAGTTGAGCATGCGACTACTTCTGCTGATGGGGATGTGAAATGTCGAATCCACGAACTGCCGATAGTCTTTGGAAGCTAATTAAGGAAAAAAAGAACTTCAACACGTCGATGACTAGCCATTTTCTTCATATCTGTTCCTGTGGACGAGATGTTTCCATGCACTTCTACCCCTGGCTGCATGTATGTATGCATGCATGCACTCATGCGCGAAATACGAATATACAGTGGGCGGGGCAGCTTCGCCCCCTTGTGGCAAGCTCCGCCCACTCGGCAAAAAATGCTGGAAATTGCTTGAATTTCAAGAATTCCTGCAAATTACGGCATTTTTGAGAAGTGGGCGAAGTTTGTTACCGAAGGGCGGAATCTGCCTAACGGGGGGGGGGGGGGGGGCGAGGTTACGGTCACTTAGGGTTCCCCAGTCACCTATGGTCTCTTCTATGCACTTTGAGCCGAAACAACTTTCTCGCAGATGACGGCGGAGTGGGCGGGCAATGAATATTTCAAGTTTGGGTTTCATGAAGCACTAGCTTGCCTACCCGGCTCCGCTCGGCCCTGTCAAAACACTGTAATAAAGGTCCCATTCCTATCTCTGTACAGCCTTTTCCTGTGCCCACTTCTACACTTCAGTTCCCGTTCCTTGTGTTGTTTTCGAAGTCAGCATGCCCACTTACCTCCGCGCCAACTCCCAGCCTTTCAGCTCAAATTTTGCAAAAAAATCGATAAAATCGATAAAGGTGATCGATAATTCTGAAAACTAATATTGTATTCGGAGTTGCCATGCTCACTTACCCCTGTGCCAACTCCCAGCCCTGTAGCTCAAATTTTGCAAAAAATCGACAAAATCGATAAAAGTAATAGGTAATACCAAAAACTATCATTATATTCGAAATCGCCATGCTCACTCCCCCCCCCTGTGCCAGCTCCCAGCCCTGTAGCTCAAACTATGCAAAAAATCGATAAAATCGATAAAAGTAATCGATAATCCTGAAAACTAATATTGTATTCGGAATCGCCAGCCCACTTACCCTCTTTGCCAACTCCCAACTCCCGTAGGATAAAAGCATATCGAGTACGAAGAGTAGCCTATGACACGCTCCCTGTTCTGAAGTGTATGTGTGCCAAGTTTGGTCCGGATTGGCTCAGAAATAAAAATTTCTATTCCGCACATACGTACAGACATACATACAGACAGACAGACACACACATTCAGCTTCATATATAAGATGATAACTTGGTAACATGGTAGTTTTGGCAAATAAACTAAGCTGATTAGTTGGACCTTCAGCTACCTCATAACAAGTTTAACCTTATGTTAGCTGTTAAATAGTGAAATGATCACAATAAAGTCTCATTTCAGAAAGTGACATTACTGACTGGTGAGTAACACGAGTAACACTAGTAACACGAGTGACACTAGTAGCACTCGCCGGACAATGTCGACTACCCGAAAAAAATGTACACAACTACTCATTACAAATGCTTTTTCATGTGAGATCGGATTTTGCATGGATGAAACTTTTCGCTGAAGAACAAACGCAAACTTGAATAGGTTTTTGAACTTTTTATGGCTTGGTAGTCGCCATGAGGGCAATCACCGTGAGCTACGTCTCTGCGCAATGATCTTCTCAAATGCTCAGGCAAAACCTAGGCAAATTAACCATCTAGGCAACCAAGCCTTTATTGCGCCATTTTCGCAATGTATTGCCAAACACATACGACTTTGCAAAAAGTGGTACACGCACCCAGTTTTGCAGGCCAGAAGCCAAGAGGATCCATTTAGCTTGCAATTTCTGAGGGTTCCACTCAACAAATCCTTTCGTGCTTCTGTTTGGTGGGCATCCATGCTAGAATCATGCGCTATGCAAAATTTGAGCTGAGAAGATCGTCTAGGACACGTCCTAC